TCTCTGCCTATGTCAAAATGTATCAAATGTTAAAATCCAGCAATTATTGTAAATGTTACAACAAAATTTCAAAAATTAACCACTTCGGTGATTTCAGACATTTCGCATTGTCACAGAACGTTCAAAATAGCTTTAATCTCTAAGTCACACACACTACGGAATACCCAATTTTCGCAAAAAGTTTTATTAAATAATTTAGCATTATATAACAGTTGTCATACTAATTATTATAATTTTGATTCTTTTTTTTTTTTAGGGAACTATATTTAACACCTCAAGCATCACATATTTGTAATTGTTGACCAGTTAAACAAATTGAAAGAACCGACAAACATAAGGCCTTTATTATTAGGCCTTGATTTGATATTTATTTACATTGATGAAAATATATTAAAAAAAAGGAAGTAGGCTCAATAGGCTATAATACCAATTTGAATGAATAATAGAAATATTCAAAAGTGAAGTAAAAACAAAACAATTCTTTGAGTCAAATTGTAGCTTCCAGGCCTAGGCCTTTATAAACATGACTACCAGTACCATAGCCTATCAGTAACTGAGTAACCTACTTTTACGCTTTAGTCCTTAGAGAATAACTTTTTATTGGTCTTTGTTGTTATCTTCTGAGTAGAAAATAATATGTGTAAAAGCAGAATTCTAACAATGATCAGTAGAAAACGACAACAACTCTTGTACAATAGGTCCTAAAGTAGCAGGATGCTAGTATCTGGAGAACATCTAGACTGGGATCTCAGCGATACACAAGGGGTTGCAGGATAAAGTAGAAATAGTAGCCCCTCAAACCAGTAAAAAAGATGAACTCCTAGTAGAAGTATAGGTGGTATTTATTAAACATTTCGGACTATGGTGTCCTTCCTCAGTAAATGAGTAGGATGAAGCGAAGCGGCGGTATTTATACTAATTGATTGTGACGTAACGTGATTATTTAGGATTGTTTATGAGTGAATTGGATTAATCATGATCATCTGGGAGTGGTCATGATTATTCAAGAAGGTTTACATATAAAAGAGAATTTTGATAATAAAATCTAAAGTTTTTTTAATAAAAAAATGTATATATATCGCTCGATTCGCGGTAACATGATGGGATGATATGATTAATACAGATGATTAACAAATTTCTCATATACAAATTGATTTAAAAAATGAAATTAATAATTACAAAGTTAAATATACTATTCAAAAAAAGTAGGGGATATTTGATTTTGGGGGCATAATACTAAAATATGCAAATGACTACGAAAAAAGTCACTATAGAACCTAACAGAAGAAACATTTCCAGTTACATGTGACGCCCAAACGCACCAATAGCTACCGCATGGAATGCAGGTGATGCTTGGGATCATCATGGGGGTCCAACCCAAGATTTGCACGACTCTGACTTTGAATGTTACAGTCATTGTGGCATTGAATTCCAGGGTGGAAACATCAGTTAAATTGTTTTAGTGACCAGAAAACAAATTTTGATATGCGTCGGCTTACCCAAAATGAAAGGTTACGTGCCCTTGGCATGCTACAGATCGGCACAACACAGGCGGTTGTGGCGCGGACGATGAATGTTTCTCAGTCTGTCATAAGCAGGCTATGGTCCAGATACCGTGATACACAATCTGTACAGGACAGACCACGCTCAGGTCGACCAAGGGCGACAACTCAAGCCCAGGATCGATTTATCCCTACCTTGGCCTTGAGAAATCGTGTCATCACAGCAAATCAGATCAGCGCTCGTCTTCAAACAGACACTGGTGTGAGAGTGAGTGGCCAGACGATTCGGAATCGACTGCATAGGGGTCACCTTCGCGCCCGACGTCCTCGCGTGATCCCTTGTTTGAGAGATCATCACATTCAGGCAATACGTCGTTGGTGTAGGGATCGTCAACACTGGGATAATCGACGCTGGAGCAATGTGATGTTTTCAGATGAGTCAAGGTTCACTGTTGATTTTTTGGACAGACGTAGGAGGGTGTGGCGTCGTCGAAACGAGCGCTTCCAAGACGTTAACGTCATCAGACATGATCGATTTGGGGGTGGTTCTGTTATGGTGTGAGGAGGCATCACTGTTGCTGGAAGAACGGCTTTACATGTTGTTGCAGGGCGTGTTACAGGCCAGTACTACCGGGACAACATCTTGGCAGTCCATGTTGTGCCGTTCGCACAACGTCATGGCCGCCGTTTCATCTTCCAGGATGACAACGCAAGATGTCACAGGGCCAGGATCGTTACAGGTTACCTCCAACAACAGAACATCACCACATTACCTTGGCCAGCACTGAATCCCGACCTCTCCCCCATCGAGCATGTCTGGGACATGCTTGGACAGAGGTTACGTCAACGTCAACAACGTCCTGCCAATGTCCAAGAACTTGCTGCTGCGTTGCAACAGGAATGGGACAATCTGGACCAAAATGACCTTAGACGTCTCATTAGGAGTATGCCACGTCGGATCAATGCTTGTTTGGCAAACAGAGGAGGATTTACCCGTTACTGACTTGGTTGTGATGCTGTGGTAACTTTGCTGTTTGACCCCGGGTATCATTTTACCCATATAATGGTCAGTCTGTGCCTTACTTAGTCTAACGATCATTTGGAATAAATCGATGAATGTGAACTTCATTTCATTTTGTCATTTGTTTCTTCGTCAGTTTCATTAGGTGACTTTAATAACACTTAAAAATCAAATATCCCCTACTTTTTTTGAATAGTATATAATTTTAAAGAATTAGAGTTCTTAATATTAAATTATGCAGGAACAGTTCTAATTCTAACAATGATGTAAGCAACGATTGCTGCGAACAATGTTAGTGAAACGACAGTTGTCCTATTTTTAGAATTATGTGGTTGCTATGACAACCATCCAAAGTCCTTAATATTTCACTAAAATTATACAATTCATAATATTTTATATTACATGGGCTGTAAATATATACTAAATTGCTTTCAGCTACCGTACTTAAAATGTGATCATTTGGTTCGTCATAGTAAACACCATTGAAAATGGAATAACATTGCCTTTTTATACGTCCACATGCCGTCGCCCCTGTCCGTCCGGATGTCCGTCCGTCCGTCCACAATTGTTTGTGGACTCTCTACAGGTCACAATTCTTATCCGATTTTGACGAAACTTGAAATATAGGTTTATCCCCAAAAGATCTCGGCTGCTTTCGATATTGGCATGTATCGGATCGAAACTTCATGGATTATGGCCCCTGATTGTATGAAAAATCACGTTTTTAGCTTGTGGACCCTATAGAGGTCACAATTTTTATCTGATTTTTTTAAAACTTTAAATGTAAGTTTATAACCCAAAGATCTCAGTTCCTTTCGATATTCGCGCATATCGGACCTTAACTTCCTGAATTATGGCCCCTGATTGTACGAAAAATCACGTTTTTAGCTTGTGGACCCAATAGAGGTCATAATTTTTATCCTATTTAAAAACCGTTTTATTATATCACCGTTATACCCTAAGGACGGCTAAGTTGGAATTTCGTGAAAATCGGCCTAAAACTGACAGACAAAATGGCCGCCCCTGGTTCTCAAATAGCGTAAAAATATGGTACATCAAGGTTGTGGACCCAATAGAGGTCACAATTTTGATCCGATTTTGTTGAAATTATAAATGTAATTTTATAACCCTCTAGAGGTCACAATTTTCTTTTGATTTTTATGTAACTTGAAATGTAAGTTAATAACACAAAGATCTTGGTTCCTTTCGATATTCGGCATATCGGATAGTAACTTCCTGAATTATGGCCCTTGATTGTACGAAAAATCGCGTGTATAGCTTGTGGTCCTTGTAGAGGTCACAATTTTTATCTGATTTAAAAAACAGTTTTAATATATCACCATTACACACTAAGATCATGGATCCTTTTGATAATCCCGGATACCCGAACTTAACTTCCTGGATTATGGCCCCTTATTGTTTGAAAAATGGCATTTTTAGCTTGCGGATTCTCTAGAGATCACAATTTTTTTTCCGATTTTAAATATTTCACCATTCCACCATAATGAAGGTTGAATTCGAATTTCGGGAAAATCGAAATGAAACTTCCCAACAAAATGCCCGCTCTTTGTTCGCAAATTGTGTAAAAGTATGCAATACAAAGGTTGTCAACCCTCTAGGGGTCACAATTTTTGTCCGATTCTGATGAAACTTAAATCATATCTTTATATCCCAAAGATCTCGGTCCCTTTTGATATTTGTGCATTTCAGACCATAACTTTCTGGATTATTGCCCCTGACTGTACAAAAAATCCCTGTTTGTTTTTAGCTTGTTCTCTATCCATCTCTTGCAAAATGTGGGCGTATCCTGCCTGGCAGCTGCTGGTTGATGAAAAAATTGACCAAAATCACTTTGACAAAATAGAATTTTTGAGAAAACCTATGTATTTTGGAGTTGCTTGAGAAATCTAAGTAATTGTTACAAAAATGTGAAAATCGAAACATAATTAGCCTTAAAGTTGTATTTCATGAATTTACATCTACATTTTTGATAGGTTTGCTATGAAATGAAATATGACATCGCAAAAAACACTAAAAATGACTTTTTCAAGGCGTTGAAAAACCTTTCTTCTGTGAAAAGTCAAAAATCGCAACTTTGAGCCTCCATAAAAAAAAAAATTTTCATCCGATTTTGAATCTGTAAAAAGTTTTGGGAGAAGAATGATGAGATCTACTTGAAAAGTTAATAAAATCAAATGTATAATCATAATCTCAAAATCACCTTTTCCACCTAGTATTAAATTGATATCGGTGTCTTGTAAATACACTCATTACCTAGACAAACGAATAAATATGCAACAAATCTTGTCAACTGTTTGGAGGATTTAGCTGCTGTGGGCGTATGTTTCGTGGCCTGGCAACCTATCTTTTTAAACTAGAACAATATTGCTATAAATAAACATCATAACACAAGGCTACTCGCAATGCATAAACAAATTTATTTAAGTCATTAATTACATTTTCTATTTAAATTTCAGAGAAATTTTACAAATTTGAGAAGATAATTCAAAAGGAAAATTTACTGAGTTTATATACAAAATGGCCATCCTTGGAGTGCAGTTTGTGTTCAGCTTGGTGATGTTTAGCTTCCTCCAGAAGTTGTCACCATATTTCTCTTTTGGTCAGTGGTTACTATGTAATAAGCTAGTTCGATTTCTATACCCAACAGATGAAGAGTTAAAATCTTTAGCAGGAATATCAACTGGTGTTAAAGGAAAGGTCAAAAGAAATGATTATAAGAAAATGATTAATAATACAAAAAAAGATGACAGTTTTACAGTTCCTAGAAATTTACCAATTCAATTAGATACGGTCAAGGTGCAAGCTGTTGATCTTTTACCACTCAAATATTTCACAGATTTTCAGTGGCTGATGGATTTTTCGCTCTCTTCTGTTATTGTTTATACTCTCACAGAAATATATTTTGCTGTAGCTTCCCACAAGATAGAATTTAATGTTAGTATATTGTGGTGTTTGTTAACTATTGGATTCTGTTTGCGTGTTTTGATGTCCCAAACTGCTATGTATTTCAAAGCTGAGGAAGGCGGAGAGAGAATTCTTTGTATCACATTTGGATTCTTTTACTTGGTATTAGGAATGGGTGTATTGGTGATAAATGACATAGTTCTAGAGTTTGGATTAGAGGAAGGTTACAACAACTTCTCTGGTAATGCCATGGAATTCTTAAAACATCAGGGAGTAGAATCTCAAGGCCCACTCTCCTTCCTTACCTTTAAAATAGTTCTAGCTATTTTGTGTGCATTTATTGGTGGTATATTAACATTCCCAGGTCTGCGAATGGCTAAACTTCATCTGGATTCCTTGAAATATGCCAAAGAATCACCCTTCAAACAAACAATCCTCCATATGAACTTCATTCTGCCACTTTTCATTTGCCTTACATGGGCTCGTCCTATTGCTAGAGATGTTTTTTGTGTCCGCAGATATTCTGGGGATCCTTATCTTACAGATGCAGCATTTGATAGTATTCGTCTTATCTTGGTTATTTTCTTTTTCTTTGTAAGATTAATTTTATTGCCAATACACTTGCAATCTCATCTTAATATGGCACATGAGAAAATAGAAATGATGAAGAAAGAAAGTGGTAGAATTAATAGTTTAGAGCTACAGAAAACTGTGGCACGTGTATTTTACTATTTGTGTGTGGTCACATTACAATATATTACACCAGCATTGTTGATTTTATTTTTGACATTTCTACTGAAAACTCTAGGAGACTACTCGTGGAGTGATGTGTTTGGTGATAAAGTTAAAGTTCTATGGTCTGTCAGAAATGTTGCTTCGGGCATGTCAATGACAGCCCCGCCTGCTAACAGTACAGACAGTATTGCCAACACAGCTGCTCAGTTCTCATGGGCTATAAGTAACTTGCGAAATGTTTTTACATCAGTGTGGTATCGCGGTCTATTGTCATTCATCATGTGGTGGGTTTGTACATCATGGTTTTTAAGCAGCGTATTTGGAATAATGTATTATACGCAAATAGAAAAGGTATAAGTGAAGGTTTTTCAATATTGAAAAAAATAAATAAATGAATAAATCTGAATTATGTCTGATTACAACTGTAAATCAGTGATTCATTTCATTCACCATCATGTGATCAGAGAAGTAGAGGTAGATTAATTAAATTATGAGTTGAGTTTTGAAAAGAGTAGTTATAGTTATGACTCATGACCTATATAACAATAGGTTACATTTTTATATGCCAAGAATTGAAATGTAATTGTAGGTATATTGTCATCAGCCCAATCTGTCCAGGCTAAAGTTATCATCCGATAAGACTCGAAATTTACTGGTACATGCATTGTTTATGTCACTTTACTTGTTTACTTTGTAAATTCTTGTGTTTGCTCTAGCAGTTATAAGTTGACTTGAAATCTATGTGTTTATGTTACTTTTTAAACAATTCTGATAATTGTCCCCCGCCTTTCGAAGAAAGCAGGGGACTATTAAAATGGGTTCGTCCGTCTGTCTGTCCGTCTGTCTGTCCGTCACACTTTTTGGGACACAATAACTCTCTTCCTAATTGAGCTAGAATGTTCAAACTTGGTGTATGTGTTTATTAGGTCAATGCCTTGATGGAGTTCGAAGATGAGCATTTTCCGCTTAGGGTAAGCAGAGATAAGCAATTTGATTGGTTGATGCTTTGGGACACGATAACTCTCTTCCTAATTGGGCTAGAATGTTCAAACTTGGTGTATGTGTTGATTAGGTCAATGCCTTGATGGAGTTCGAAGATGAGCATTTTCCGCTTAGGGTAAGCAGAGATAAGCAATTTGATTGGTTGATGCTTTGGGACACGATAACTTTTAATTGAGCTAGAATGTTCAAACTTGGTGTATGTGTTTATTAGGTCAATGCCTTGATGGAGTTCGAAGATGAGCATTTTCCGCTTAGGGTAAGCAGAGATAAGCAATTTGATTGGTTGATACTTTGGGGCACGATAACTCTCTTCCTAATTGAGCTAGAATGTTCAAACTTGGTGTATGTGTTGATTAGGTCAATGCCTTGATGGAGTTCGAAGATGAGCATTTTCCGCTTAGGGTAAGCAGAGATAAGCAATTTGATTGGTTGATGCTTTGGGACACGATAACTTTAGTTCTAATTAAGTGAGATTGATGAAACTTGGTGTATAGTTTCATTACAGTAATACCTTGACTAAGTTTGATAATGAGCATTTTCTGCTCAGGGTAAGCAGAGCGATACGCAATTTGATTGGTCGAGACTTTGGAAAACAATAACTCTCCTACTTTGATTGTTAGACTATAAGTAAAGATATACTGTTTGATTGTTCAATACTTTGTAAAAGATAATTTGTGATAAATTTATATGTGTCCTCTAATTATTTTCCCATTTCGGCGGGGGACATCAGCCTCACTGTTGGCTTGTTGCTTCATGGGTTGTTGCCCATGATTGCTTTTTATACGCCCACATGGAAATGTGGTCGTATATTGCCGTCGCCCCCATCCGTCCGTCTGTTGTCCACAATTTCTTGTGAACACTCTACAGACTACATTTATTATCTGATTGTTTTGAAATTGATATATGTTGTTTGCATTAGTGAGATGAAGAAGCCTATTTAATTTCAATAATTTCCATTAATTTCTTCTGGAGTTATGGCCCTTGTTTCACTTCATTGCACCTTGTCAACGCTCTAAAGAGTAAAGTTATCAACCGATCTGTATGAAATTTATTTGCATTATTTAAATTAGTGAAACGAAGAAGCCTATTGAATTTCAGCAATTTCCGTTAATTACATCTAGAGTTCTGGCCCTTGTTTCACTTTGTTGAATCTTGTGAACGCTCTAATGACAACAGTTATCATCCGATCTGTTCGAAATTGATATGCATCATTTAAATTAGTGCAACGAAGAAGCCTATTGAATTTCAGCAATTTCCGTTGATTACGCCGTGAGTTATGGCCCTTGATTTACTTTGTTGAACCTTGTGAACTTTTGAACGACAAAAGTTATCATCCGATCTGTTTGATATTGATATGCATCATTTAAATTAGTGAAACGAAGAAGCCTATTGAATTTCAGCAATTTCCGTTAATTATGCCGTGAGTTATGGCCCTTGTTTCACTTTGTTGTACCTTGTGAATGCTCTAATAACAAAAGTTATTATCCGATCAGTATGAAATTCATATGCATCATTTGAATTAGTAAAACAAAGAAGCCATTTGAATTTCAGCAATTTCCGTTAATTACATCTAGAGTTATGGCTCTTGTTTCACTTTGTTGAATCTTGTGAATGCTCTAATGACAACAGTTATCATCCGATCTGTTCGAAATTGATATGCATCATTTAAATTAGTGCAACGAAGAAGCCTATTGAATTTCAGCAATTTCCGTTGATTACGCCGTGGTTATGGCCCTTGATTTACTTTGTTGAACCTTGTGAACTTTTGAACGACAAAAGTTATCATCCGATCTGTATGAAATTTATATGCATTATTTGAATTAGTAAAACAAAAAAACCTGTCGAATTTCAACATTTTCTGTAGATTACTTCCAGAGTTATGGCCCTTGTTTTAGTTTTTAGAACCTTGTGAACCCTCAAACGACGAAAATTATTATGTCATCTGTATGAAATTATCTATTAAATGCTCCTAATTACCTATAAAAGAATAAATATGCGACAACCCTTGTCGATCGCTTGGATGATTTAGCTGCTGTGGATGTATGTTTTATTGCCTGGCAACCTATCTTTATGTGGATAGGACATGTACCGGTATCTATAAAAAGAAACACAATGCAGAAACCTTTATGAACCTGGTGGATAACTATACTGCTGTTGGCATATGTTATGTTGCCTAGCTACCTATATTTGGAGAAAATGTGTCATCCCATTATTAGAAAAAGAATAGACAGTGGACCAGTGCTTGTCGGATGACCACCTCAGATTATTATGAAAAAAATATATATTATAGTACATACAAACTTAAATGTAAAACTGCCAAGTTATATGACTCTAGCATTAATATTGACTGAGATACATGCATGGCCTTTGAATCAAGGTCCCATTCTATCTATGACTTGATTTCGGTGTACTGATTTTATATCTTCTAGTTAATCAATATTCTTGAAACTTTGGGGTTTGTAAGAGAATGTTTATTATATAGATTAAGAATTCACCATCAAATTTTATAGAGCCAGTACCTTCCACTGTGTATTGAGAGCCTTAAGTGCCAAATATTGATACTTATGCAAAAAAATCAATATTTTGATACAGTGTAGAAATTTTACTACACTATATTTGAAATTGTCACTTATCACATGCATAATGTATCTTTGTCAGTTTCTTGTAAAATTAGCTTTGAAAACCAACTCACACAGGGAAATAGGTAAAACCATGAAAAAAATATGAAACTTTATTGAAATGTTGCTTGTGTAGTCCATCAATGATGAAAGGCCCATCTTTGATATTTTACTCCTTCATTTTTTATTTTCATGAAATTTTTAAACTGTATTATTATATCACTGTTACACCCTAAGGACGGCTGAGTTCGAATTTCGTGAAAATCGGCCCAAAATTGACAGACAAAATGGCCGCCGTTCGTTCTCAAATAGCGTAAAAATACGGTATATCAAGGTTGTGGACCCTATAGAGGTCACAATTTTTATCCGATTTTGTTGAAACTTGAAATGTAAGTTTATAACCCAAAGATCTCGGTTCCTTTTGATATTCGGGCATATCGGTACGTAACTTCCTGAATTATGGCCCCTGATTGTACGAAAAATCGCGTTTTTAGCTTATGGACCCTATAGAGGTCATAATTTTTATCCGATTTAAAAAAAAGTATTATTATATCACTGTTACACCATAAGGACGGCTGAGATTGAATTTCGTGAAAATCGGCCCAAAACTGACAGACAAAATGGCCGCCCTTTGTTCTCAAATAGCGTCAAAATATGGTATATCAAGGTTGTGAATCCTATGGAGGTCACAATTTTTATCCTATTTTGTTGAAACTTGAAATGTAAGTTTATAACACAAAGATCTCGGTTCCTGTTGATATTTGCGCATATCGAATTGTAATTTCCTGAATTATGGCCCTTGATTGTAGGAAAAATCACTATCTTTTTAGCTTGTTCTCTATCCATCTCTTGAAAATGTGGGCGTATCCTGCCTGGCAGCCGCTGGTTAGCTTGTGGACCCTATAGAGGTCATAATTTTTATCCGATTTAAAAAAACATTTTAGTATATTACCGTTACACCCTAAGGATGATTGAGTTCGAATTTCTAGAAAATCGGCATAAAACTGACACAAAATGGTCGTCCCTCGTTCTCAAGTAGCGTAAAAATATGGTATATCAAGGTTGTAGACCCTCTAGAGGTCACAATTTTCTTCTAATTTTGATGAAACTTGAAATGTAAGTTTATAACCCAAAGATCTCGGTTCCTTTCGATATTCGCACATATTGGACCGTAACTTCCGGAATTATGGCCCCTGATTGTACAAAATCATGTTTTTCGCTTGTGGACCCTATACAGGTTATATTTTTTATCTGATTTAAAAAAATGTTTGAATATATCACTGTTACACCCTAAGGATGGTTGAGTTTGAATTTCGTAAAAATAGGACCAAAACTGACAGACAAAATGGCCGCCCCTCGTACTCAAATAGCGTAAAATTATGATATATCAAGGTTATGGACTCTCTAGAGCTCACAATTTTCTTCTGATTTTGATGAAACTTGAAATGTAAGTTTATAAGTTTATAACCCAAAGATCTCAGTTCCTTTTGATATTCGCATATATCGGACCGTAACTTCCTGAATTATGGCCCCTGATTGTACGGAAAATCGCGTTTTTAGCTTGTGGACCCTTATAGAGGTTATAATTTTTATCCGATTTCAAAAACCGTTTAAATATATCATCTTTACACCCTAAGGATGGTTGATTTCGAATTTCGTTAAAATACTCCCTTTTGACACTTCACCGACGATATCAAGGTTGTGGACCCTCTAGAGGTCACAATTTTCTTCTGATTTTGATGAAACTTGAAATGTAAGTTTATAACCCAAAGATCTTGGTTCCTGTCGATATTTGCGCATATCGGATGGTAAATTCCTGAATTATGGCCCCTGATTGTACGTAAAATCGCTTTTTGTTTAGCTTGTTCTCTATCCATCTCTTGCAAAATGTGGGCGTATCCTGCCTGGCAGCCGCTGGTTCCTGATTTGAATGAATTGATTATAATATTTCTAATTGCATGATCATCATAAAACAAGGCCTTGTAAGAACATTTTGTGCTTACTTATAACAATTATGCATCAATATCAGACCCAGGGGGTACCATTAATTTATGATTCACCATCAAAAACATGGAAAGTTCAAAATTTGTAACATGTTCATATATTTATATTTTTCGCCCATTTGAAAGGATATCACTTCCAATACTTTGATTATCATCAAATCACACCCTGTAAGAGCAAGCTCATGACTTATGCATAGCTTCTATAACCTGTAGTAATCCCCTAATTATGTATACTCCCCACCTAATTCATTCAAGGGACCTAGCAAAAAAAATTTTTTTTTAATATATACTTGAATATAAATCATTATACAATAGAATAACATACTCTTCAAAAAAAGTAGGGGATATTCAGAAACAATACAAAACTGCAGAAATGCACTGCTGTTTTTATTAGAGGTAACCAGTGTATGTCAATAACAGGCCAATTGTCTACACATGAACATACATGTAAACAGCCCATATGGGCGGCATATCTGACGGCCCCATTTCACTCGCAAAGAGATGCACAGTCAAAAATGAAAATGGACGTTTTTGATTTTTGTCGTAATAATCAGTAATTGCTCCACCAATCCCCAGACATTCGTCAATTCTTCATGGCATGCTCCTAGTCAACTGTCCAATCACGATTTGGGGCAATCTGACCCACTCCTCTTGCAGTGCCACGGCCAATTCCTGCAGTGTTGTCGGTTGAAGTTGACGTCGACGAACACGTCTCCCGATCAAATTAAATGTAACACACTAAAGCAAAGATACGCTAAACAGTAAATCTTATGCAAGAACCGATAGGAAAGCAAACATGGATATATAACCCAGCATGCGGCAGTTTTCATCAACTCTTCCTTGAAGTGTCAAATTTGACAATAAACCCCTCCCACATGTATGGCGCTATTACGTGTCGCATGTGCAGCTCAGTGGTTTTGTTGGGACGATAAGTTCATCTGTGAACATACTCTCAAAGCATGTCAAATGTCCATGACTATTTATCATATCACAACCTGCATAGGTATTTGTATTTCAATATCCTCTCCTTTTTTTTGAAGAGTGTATTTAAGTATATATTAAAAAAACACACACTTTCTTTTCTGAAAACATAATTTAAACCTTTCCAAGTTACTGCTTTGGAGAAGTTCAGTTGATAATTTGGGTGATCAGCTGCTCTCTACCCTGTTTTGCAATGTTATCTCCCTTGAATGAATAATAGTGTACAAGCAACATTTCCCCTATACCTATACCTATACTTTCTGAGAATTTGGTCCACTAGACATGGAATGATCCCTGTAAGTTTATGCATGAAACCTCCTGTGTGCATCAAAGCAGACTGTTAATGACATGCGGGAGCGTGTGAACATTTACATCTGTAAATGAGAAATAATGATTTAGCTGCTAGATGAATTTATTCAATATATTCATATTCATAATGAATGACTTGAATATAAATGTAGATTTTTGTATAGAATATAATAAATGGAATGTTAGTAAAAAATAATTTGTAATATATCAGTGCTGACTTGTTTTAGATATTTTTTTATTTATTAAAGATACATTATGGGAGATTAGATAAAGAGCTGGCAGTTCTCACTGTAATAGTTAACAATCCAACAGTGAGGCTGATGTCCCCCACCGAAATCCCAAAATAAAGAGATGACACATATTAATTAATAGCACCTTTATTTTTATACGCCCACATTTTCATGTGGACATATATTGTCGCCGCCCCTGTTCGTCCACAATTGTTTGTGGTCACAATACTTATCTGATTTTGACGAAACTTGAAATATAGGTTTATCTCCAAAAGATCTTGGTTGCTTTCGATATTGGCATGTATTGGATCGAAACTTCATGGATTATAGCCCCTGATTGTACAAAAAATCACGTTTTTACCTTATGGACGCTATAGAGGTCACAATTTTAAACCGATTTTGATGAAACTTGAAATGCATGTTTATAACCCAAAGATCTTGGTTCCTTTTGATATTTGCGCATATCGGATCGTAACTTCCTGAATTATAGCCCCTGATTGTACGAAAAATTGCCTTTTTTAGCTTGTGGTCCCTCTGGAGCTCACAATTATTATCCAGTTTTAAAAAAAACATTTGATTATATCACCGTTACACTGTAATGAAGATTGAGTTCGAATTTCGTGAAAAACGGACCAAAATTGCCGGACAAAATGGCTGCCACTTGTACGCGAATAGTATAAAAATATGGGATATCAAGGTTGTGGACCCTGTAGATGTCACAATTTTAATCCTATTTTGATGGAACTTGAAATGCATGTTTATAACCTAAAGATCTCGGATCCTTTCAATATTCACGCATATCGGATCGCAACTTCCCGAATTATGGCCTCTGTACGAAAAATCACCGTTGTAGCTTGTGGTCCCTCTAGAGGTCACACTTATTATCCGATTTAAAAAAAACCGTTCGAATATATCCCCGTTACACTGGAATGTTTGTTGAGTTCGAATTTTGTGAAAATCGGACCAAAACTGCCGGACAAAATGACCGCCGCTTGTATGCGAATAGTGTAAAAATATGGTATAATAAGGTTGTGGACCCTCTAGAGGTCACAATTTTGATCCGATTTCGATGAAACTTGAAATACATGTTTATAACCCAAAGATATTGGTCCCTTTCGATATTCGCGCATATCGGATTGTACCTTCCTGAATTATGGCACTTGATCGAACAAAAAATCACGTTTTTAGCTTGTGGTCCCTGTAGAGGTCACAATTTTTATCCGATTTAAAAAAAACAAAACATGTGAATATATCACCATTACACACTAAGATATTGGTTCCTTTTGATAATCGCGGATACCCAAACTTAACTTCCTGGTTTATGGCCCCTGATTGTTCGAAAAATCCCAGTTTTAGCTTGCGGATTCTCTAGAGGTCACATTTTTTTCCGATTTTAAAAACCGTTTAAATACATCACCATTCCACCATAATGAAGGTTGAATTCGAATTTCGGGAAAATCAAATGAAACTGCCTGACAAAATGACCGCTCTTTGTACGCAAATTGTGTAGAAGTGTGTAATACGAAGGTTGTGAAACCTCAGGAGGTCACAAATCACCATTTTTATCTTTATATCCCAAAGATCTCAGTCCCGTTTGATATTTGCACATTTCAGGTCATAACTTTCTGGATTATTGCCCCTGATTGTACAAAAAAACGCGTTTGTTTTTAGGTTATACAGGTCACAATTCTATGGAATACAATTACTGCTTTTTACTGAGCGACGTTTCGACTAGGCTTCTCTAGTCATTATCAAGCTATGATAAAAAATGAAAATATGACAGGACAATATATACATGTACACCACAATGCTAAGTTAATGATGACAAACCAGGGATGTAACTTAATTACGTGTACCTAATCATCACCATTAGGTACACGTAATTAAGTTACATCCCTGGTTTGTCATCATTAACTTAGCATTGTGGTGTACATGTATATATTGTCCTGTCATATTTTCATTTTTTATCATAGCTTGATAATGACTAGAGAAGCCTAGTCGAAACGTCGCTCAGTAAAAAGCAGTAATTGTATTCCATAGAATTGTGACCTGTATACTCTAGTTCAATTACTAAATGCCATTGAAACAGTTTGTTTTTAGGTTGTTTTCTATCCATCTCTTGCAAAATGTGGGCGTATCCTGCCTGGCAGCCACTGCTTTTCAAAAGTATCAAGCAATCAAACTGATTATCAACCATACACTAAGTTTCATCACTCTCTATCAGATCGAATCAAAGTTATGAAATTGCTTAGCTCTGCTTAGCTTTAGCTCGAAATGTTAATCATTGAACTCAGTCAAGACATTAACTTAATGAACATCTACATCAAGTTTAAACATTCTACCTCAATTAAAAGCAGAGTTGTTATGTTCCAAAGTCTTGACCAATCAAATTGCTTATCACTCCTTATTCTAAGCAGAAAATTTGCATCACCGAACTTACTCAAGGTAATGATATAATGAATCTATACTCACTTAATTAAAACTAAAGTTATCGTGCCCTAAAGCATCAACCAATTAGATTGCTTATCTCTGCTCATCTTCGAACTCCATCAAGGCATTCACCTAATGAACGCCTACACCAAGTTTAAACATTCCACCTAAGTTAGAAGGAGAGTTGTTGTGTTCCAAAGTCTAGACCAATCAAATTTATCACTCTGCTTATCCTGAGCAGAAGATGCTCATTATCGAAGTTAGTCAAGTTATTGGTGTGATAAAACTATACACCAAGTGTCAACACTCTCACATAATTTGAACTAAAGTTATCGTGTCCCAAAGCATCAACCAATCAAATTGCTTATCTCTGCTTACCTTAATCAGAAAATACTCATCTTCGATCTCCATCAAGGCATTGACCTAATAAACACCTACACCAAGTTTGAATGTTCTAGCTCAATTAGAAAGAGAGTTTATTGCGTTCCAAAGTCTCGGTAAATCAAATTGCTTACCCTGAGCAGAAAATGCTCATTATCAACTTAGTCAAGGTATTGATGTAATAAAACTATACACCAAATTTCACCACCTTCACTTAATTAGAACTAAAGTTATCGTGTCCCAAAGCATCAACCAATTAGATTGCTTATCTCTGCTTACCCTGAGCAGAAAATGCTCATCATCGAAATTAGTCAAGGTATTGACCTAATAAACACCTACACCAAGTTTGAACATTCTAGCTCATTAGTAGGAGAGTTATTGTGTCCCAAAAAGTGTGACAGAAGGGCGGACAGACAGACAGACGGACGAACCCATTTAAATAGTCCCCTGCTTTCTTCGAAAGGTGGGGGGCAAAAACAAGATAATGTAAAGGGAATTTGTTGAAAATTTCAGTCAAATTAATCCACTCTGAACCGAGAGTTTAACAATTGAATTTTCAGCCTAGCCCCGATCATCATTACTAAAGTCGGTACGATAAGAAACATAGTCTCACTGGTCCATTTCATGTTTAAATCATGAATGAAAGTTGAGCAGCAAATGGGATCCTAATCCCGTAAATATCGCAGGCTACCGTTGACATCAAGACTTGATTATGGTCTGAATAAGTTAATTAATGTATAATTAATAATTTAGATAACATTTTAGGCCTAAAGAAAGACCTGCAATAGGCAGATTTAGCTCTTGCACAATGTATGTTTAAGTATATTACAACATAACAACTTAAAAGACTTTGTTGGTGTCCACCAGTTTCACAACATAACTTAAGACTTTGTTGGTGTCCACCAGTTTCACATGTGATAAAACTGGTTATGATTGTATCACAGAATTGAGAAATGAAGCAAATAAAGTAAAGCGGTTATTGTTACTGTCCGTAGCAGCTACACAGACAATTTTAAGCTCATTGATAGTTCTTGTGAAAACAAGGAGTTGTTATTTGAGACTAACAAAATATCAGAAGTACATAATGAGCAGTTGCTATGCAAGCTATACCCACATTTTGCAACAGATGGACAGAGAACCGGCTAAATCAATAGGGCTCATCCTCGCATTGTCCCATTGACGGATCATGAAGTCTGCGGGCCCCAGTGACAAGACCGCTATCTGTCAACCAGAAATAATATTTTGGGTTGTGGAAACATTTCTGACATCAACTTCCGCTGCCATCCTACCCACCCAAGGTGAAATTTTTGATATCAATTCTTATATGCCCACATTGTCATGTCGACGTATTGTTCCGTTGCCCCTGTCCGTCCCGACGTCTGTCCATAATTTCTTTGTGGACACTCTACAGGTCACAATTTTTATCCAATTGTGACGAAACTTAAAATGTAGGTTTATCTCCCACAGATTTTGATTCCTTTTGATATTGGAATGTATCGGACCATAACTTCATGGATTATGGCCCCTGATTGTATGAAAAATCACCTTTTTAGCTTGTGGACACTCTAGAGGTCACAATTATCATTTTTATAACCCAAAGATCGTCGTTCCTTTCGATTTTCTCGCATATCGGATCTTAACTTACTGAATTATGGCCCCTGATTCTCCGAAAAATCACGTTTTGAGCTTGTGGTCCCTCTAGAGGACACAACTATTATCCGATTTGAAAAAATGCATTTTTACAACCCAAAGATCGTCATTCCTTTCAATATCTCGCATATCGGATCGTAACTTCCTGAATTATGGTAGGATACGCCCACAAGAGATGGATAGAGAATAAGCTAAACAAAAAGCGATTTTTCGTAAAATCAGGGCCCATAATTCAGGAAGTTACGATCCAATATGCGCAAATATTGAAAAGAACCGAGATCTTTGGGTTATAAACTTACATTTCAAGTTTCATCAAAATCAGAAGAAAATTGTCACCTCTAGAGGGTCCACAACCTTGATATACCATATTTTTACCCTATTAGAGTACGAGGGCGGCCATTTTGTCTTGTCAGTTTTGGGCCGATTTTCACAAAATTCCAACTCAGCCGTCCTTAGGGTGTAACGAACGTGAAAGTGCTGGGAATACCCACCAAAGTCGAGTCGAGATAAGATATTCGCGTACCGGTCGGC